CTCAAACCGAATGGCATGACAATGTAACAGTACACGCCATCCGTTGTGACAAACGCCGTTTTCTCTGCATCGTCTGGATGCATAAACACCTGGTGATACCCTCTGAAAGGATCCATGAAGCTGAGCAACTCACAACCTGCTGTTTCATCCACCAACAGATCAATCTCGGCGACTGGGTAGGGGTCCATTGGACAAGCTTTGTTTAAATCGGAGTAGTCGACGCACATCTGCCATGTGCCCATGTGTTGCCTTTTGGGGCCAGGACCACATTTGCCAACCACTCCACGTGGATGACCGGCCAGATGTGGTGGATGCTGAGAAGCGTAGCAGTCTCGGTCTTGATGAAGTCTCGCCGTTCGGCCACCATGTACATCTTCTTCTGGTGGATGGGTTTGGCATCGGATCGGACGGCCAGCTTGTGGCAAATTTTCTCCGGGCATAGAAATTACCTTAGCAACGGATTGAAGAAAAACTGGAGAACCCTAACAGAAGAGACTTGAAGAGTGGTGAGTATTCGGGAGCAAGGAGTAGAAAATCGGAAACCCTAGGTCCATCAAGGGATCCGGTATTTATAGAGGGAAGCACCAAACCGGGAACCAATGGGGAAGCGACACGTGGCGAGGAGTGTACCCCAGGGCACGTGTTGCACAGATAGGAACAGACGCCTAATGATGACTTTTCTCGGAAGATGCACCGTTTCAACGGCAGCCGTCACCTAAGGCTTCATGAAGCGCCGTCAGCAATCAATCGTCATATCAGGAACATCCTCGGCCCCATCTCAATGGGGACATCCCTGCAGGTACCCCTAAACCTCACCCATCAGGAACGTCTTCGGCTTCAGCACAACAAAAGACAATTATACTTCTTTATGTCCCACGCACGCTCGGAACATCAGAAGTGGGGGACCTGTGTTGGGTTAATGGCCCAATTAGAGGATCGGCGCATATAACCCCTCTATGGACGGATGTCCAAGCCCAATGGATCTATGTGGGTAGAGATGAATGTTTCCACAACCTGTAGCAGTTACGCCTCCAGGCACAAGGCAGACAAGACGAACGTCGGCACACCTATCTAGGGCCACAGGAGATAAAGCCCAAGGCTAACCAACACACTTTTACACAAGGGCCAGGAGACGTACGACCCGCAACCCTTTGCAGATATTACCAAGGGCAATCCCAGGTTCAAGAGGACGCTCGTCTCCATGAATAGGCGGGAAACCAAGATCTTGGCGGGTAGCGCATTTAATGCTGGGGATTTGGTGGTTGAGGCTTCAGCCACCTACAGCTCTCCACGTCAGCATATTCAACTTCCCCTGGGTAGTATAAATAGTACTACCTTCATCCCCCTAAGTTTGGTACAAGAGAAAGTAGCACAGTTATTAATAAAAGTGGGTTTATGTGGTTGATAATGAATTGACAAAGTAATAATAAAGTAAGAATGCTTTAGAACCACACAATTTTTACCAAATAAGGTATGAAACAATCTTAGTGGGACAGACCAAAAAGGTAAAATGGGACAATCATAGCGGGACAGAGGGAGTAACATTTATTTCATTGTAAAGGGTTGGCAACTCACCCGCCTTAGCATTTTAGCATTCATTCAGCTCTTAGCTTATTACTCACAGCTTTTCTATTCGAGTGTGAGACGTACGGCCGTTAGCCTTAGTATAGTGCAGTGTAAAGGGGAGTTATTAGATCTTAATAATACTCGGTCCACTATTGCATACACAATTCTTTGCCCATCTTACTTGCTATATTTACATATCCACACACTTCCATTCAAAATCCTTGGGCTAACGTGTTTGGCCTACAGGTTGAAGGAATATACCTCAACAACCAATATGGTCAAATTTTAGGGGACGGAAGGAGTACATAGTATCTGTCTATCTGATACGTACTTTCTTATCTTATCAACTCTTTTTATTTGATTTAGCTTTCTCTAATCTGACAATTCTTCACAATGTCTTCATTAATGACTAATATGATTTTTTTTATCTTATTTGTTTACCTAAAAATGAACTTTTTAAATATTGCAGTTTTCGTTAATACATTACTCCGTAATATTTAATATTATTAATCATTATTGCTATCATCATCATCATCATCATTGTCATGGTCATTATCATCATCATCATCATCACTGTCATCATCATCATTATGATTTCGTGTTGTATTGTGTTATTATTGTACTTTTTAGGGAATAAACTTGCATTAAAGTTTTGGAAATATTTCATATTACAACAAAGTAAATATACTCACTCCCTAGGGTATAATTTAGGAGATAAATATGGAATGATATGCTTTGCTTTTTTCCCCCGGTTCAATCCACTCTAGGTGGTGGGGGTGCCGGGGAACACCTCCCTATTTTATTAAAATAAAAATTTAAGTGCAAGAAATTGGAAATTACATTTGATGAAACTGAAAGAACATGATAAATGAAAAAACAGGAAAAATAACATCAACATCTGAAATTTTTTGAGGGGATCCCAATTGCAGCAGAAATTGATCTGTTGAATTTATTATGAAACCCGATGGCATTCTTAAGATAGGGTCTGGATAATGTTTCATCTGGATGAAATAACCTGAAACGTTGTAGAGCTGTCGTTAGTTTATGGTGCGAGTCAAATCTCTTGTCAAGTGGGTATAAAAATAATTTGTTTCATGTTGAGGTTTTGTGGAGTGGCTTCTGGTGATCATGAGAGTTGTATCTCACTTCTATAGTTGTGCATCTTGTGTAACATTGTTCGGAGGCTCAATGGAGTTCATCATTTTGTTCTTTTTTCTTTTAACCTCCATAAAGTCTTGAAGGTGTTCTTCATTGACAGGTTTGTTGGTGATTTTAGTGTCACCGACCGTTTTGTGTAATTGGAAATGACATGAGTGCTAATGGGAATTAGAACTATGATCTAATACAAGTTAGTAGGTGTGGAGTGCACACTTGTATATAAGAACTAGTTTAATTCCCAAGTGTCTACGTTAGTGGAACTCGAGGTAGAACTCGAGGTATAACTTTCAGACTTTCAGTAGACCAGCTCTGTGGTTCTAGACCGAGTTCTAGAACGGTTTGGCAGTTTCCAGCAGCTTCCCAAAAACTGTTGCGGTTATTCTTAAACGTGTGGCAACTGCCTAGGACGGTGAATATGGATATATGTCACCATATTTCGTACAGAGGAGTAAGAGGAAACATATCCAACATATCTTCATCACTTTGGCACTCAAATTAAAGATAACAATCCATATACTCGACTAGTTTGGCTCTAGTTCTTGTGCCTAAGTTCTAGAGTGTCATTAAGGATTATCCTAGATTGAATTTCTTGTAACCCAGGCATAGGGGAGAAATATCAATTCGGAAAGTGAACTTACACGATCCTTAAGCAATCCAAGTACTCGATTATCACCCTTACATAGTTATGTGATACCCTAACACAGATGACTAATCTCACATTAAATTTGACCAAGTTCGGCATGCATATTAATAAGGGGTAATTTGATTTTGCACCTCATTTTATTGTGCAAATTGGACTTTGTACCCCGCTTTTAAAAAACTTTGTTTTTGCACCCCAATCCCATATGAAAAGACAAAATTGCCCCTCCATTACCAATTTTGTTGGCCTTCATCATATTCCTTATAGAGGGCATTTTTGTCTTTTCACATGGGGTTGGGGTGCAAAAACAAAGATTTTTAAAAACGGGGTGCAAACTCCAATTTGAACAATAAAATGGGGTGCAAACTCAAATTACCCCTATTGATAATCCAGGACTAATTCACTTTGTAGCGATTTATCTTCCAAAATTATGCAATTTGGGTTTGCAAAAAAGTGAGTGACCATAACTACCACTCACGTACAACAATCTAGGAGTAATTGTAGGGAAATCATCATGTTCTTTCAATTAGTAGTCATATTTTTGTTAGGGAGATTTAAAGTAGTAATATTTGTGTAATTTTTTCATTCATAATCCACCAGTAGATAATCTTATATTAATATAATCTGTCAGCACTATGCGTGAACATTAACAGTTACTATAAACAACTTTTACAGAAAAACATGGTAAGTTTGTAATGAAAATGCCAACCATCTACAGAAGTAGATTTTACATAGAAGTATTTAATGCATTGCGCCTACAAAAATGCTTCTTATAATTCATTGGTAATTTTACCTAACTATTGTGACATTCGTTGGTAAAATTATAACCTAGATACATCATATTCTCAACTATTCAATTGTGCCAAGCCGACAACCCCTGCAAATATTCCCTATCGATTATGAATAATAATGATGTAGTAGATCCCATAGGCAAAATAAATAGGGGGTGTTTAAGTGTTTGGAACTGATTCTGTTTCTGCTTCTATTTTAAAGAAGAAACAGAATCAGTTTTCAGAAGCTGGTCTCCCCCCAGCTTCTAAAAAATTGATTCTAGGAGTAAATTAGAGCATCAGAATCACATCTGCACTTTTACCAAAACACTCCAACTTTTGTTTCTGCTCCCTGAAGAAGCAGAAGTAGTATTAAGAAGCAGATCCAAACACCACTTAAACCTATCAAGTAGGGATGGACTCGGGCCGGGCGGCCCGACCCTGAACTGGCCCGGCCCGGCGGCCCGGCCCATGGGCGGTTCGGGTCGACCCAGCTTGGTGGCTATCGGTTCCGGGCCCAGGCCTTCATTTTGGTGAACCGGCCCGGCCAATTCGGGCCCGGTCCGGGCCGGATTTAATTTTTTTTTTTTGAATTTTCTTTAAGTTTTTGGGTTGGATTGGTTATTTTGGGCCATTTGAGGTGGTTTGGGATTGAGGGGGAGGGTAGGGGGTTGATTAGGAAAACCCAAAAAAAAAAAGTTATATAGAACCGGAACCGGGCCCGGCCCGGCCCGAACCGGACCCGGGGTTACCCGGACTGGTTCCGGGCCTCCCCTACCTTGAACCAAGGCCCGAACCGGGCCCGGAACCGGTCCACCACTACTATCAAGTATCAAGTAGTGAACATTTAAATGTTACTCTCGAATTATCATAACAATAAAAATCTGTGATAAAGGGCCTAAAGTGGTTCAATGACTTCAATCGAATCAACCAGAAAACCTATCAGGTAGTGAACATTTAAATGTTACTCTCGAATTATCATAACAATAAAAATCTGTGATAAAGGGCCTAAAGTGGTTCAATCGAATCAACCAGAAAACCAAGCTGGCTATAACCATCACGAGCTTTTGACTACCTTTCTTGCTTGTCATGAAGCCATGTTAATGAAACACACAATGAAAGACAAAAATATATACAAACTGGACTCAATTAAAAATATATACCCTGTAAAATGCTTTTAAATTAAAACATGTCGGGCGCAGAACAGGCCGCCTCCACTTAGACTCAATGCTACTACAAACAGAGGTTTAAAATGGTCATCATCGTCTCCTCCCTTGCTTGGTTCTCCTTCTAGTACCGCCTGAAGATGACTGATTAGATTCTACAGATAAAACTGTACCTTCCTTTCCATCTGAAACTCCCATCTTAGCAAGCCTTCTCTGGGCTTCAATGTAGACTTTTATATCTCTGATCTGCAAACGATAAAAGACAATGTATTTACTTATAAGTTCATTAGGAAGGTTTAAAGGTCGCAGAAGCATGATATCTTATGTAATTACCTGTTCTTTAAGCTCCTGTATATTCTCATCCTTCGACTTCAATAACAGTATTTCCCTTGAGAACAAGAGGATAAAAACAGCAATGGAAACCTCAGAAACAACAAAAACAACCAAAATTGTAAATGGCTTAACTTCTTCTATGTTAAAATGAGTTTTTGTGTAATTAAGATTAAAACACGCATCATGGTTTGTGCATGAAGATACACCAAGAGACTAAAAGCTTCTTACATAAACAAAATATACTTTAGCGATGAATAAAATAAATTAATTTACCTTTTCTCTACTTCTTTATAGTTCTGCTGCAGAAGTTCTTGTTTTATCATAAGTTCTTGGTTTCTCTGACATAAAAACGCACTTGTATACTTTAGTGATCTTCTAAATAGGCAAAAAAGATTAAATCAACCCAGAGGTTCACGTTGCAGGCAGAGAGAGAAAGAGCAAAAACAATTACTGAGTTGCATTGAATGTCTTCTTTTTTGGAACTTTTGAGTCCACTGTATGAAAAACTTACATCTGTAACGGCCTTCTTCTCCTCCTCACACTTTTCAATTCTAAATTGTAAGTCGTGTGTTTTTGAAAATAGTGCCTTAGCCACCGATTTGGATACTGAGATTTCCCTTCCACTTCTTGCCGCAGCTAGTAAAGATTCATAATGCTGAAAGAATACATAGTTAAAATTCAAGCACGGTTTATTAGAGGTTCTATACACAAGCATTTTAGAACTGAGACTGTACTCCATCCGCTTTCTTTTAAGTGTCATTATGTTTTTGCACATGCTAAGAAAGCAATAAATTTTTCCACCGTAGGTAGGAACCTTTGCGGCACTGGGTAATGTTGTTGTTGTTGTAAGGTTTATGTAGGAAACTCCGCCATAAGATCATTTTTTTGTATCATGTTTATCCCGACCAAGATAAAGGAGGAGCGTTTTGTGGTAGAACGTAACAGCCAATGTTGAAATAGAGCATATAAACTATGGAATAATATTGGAGAGAAAAAAGATTTTATGTATTTTCCATTGAAGGGCAAAGGCCCTATGTATAGATTACAAAGATGGAATATTCCATACAAGATGCTATACACGACTAGTATCTGAAGTATATTCCTAAAGCATATTCTTATTATTATTATTATCATTATTCACACTCCCCTTCAAGTTGGAGCATAGATATATATCATGCCCAACTTGTTACATAAGTTATCAACTTGAATCTCATTTAGAGCTTTAGTGAATAAATCTCCAAGTTGTTCTCCGGTCTTCACATATCCGGTAGAGATCAATCTTTTTTTTTGTATCTTCTCTCGAATAAAATGGAAATCAACCTCAATATGCTTTGTTTTCTCATGAAATACTGGATAGTTTGATATGTGTATAGCAGCTTGGTTATCGCACCACAACTTTGCATGCATTGGTGTCTTCAATCCGATTTCACTTAATAAATGGTTTGGTTAGATTATCTCACATGTTGATTGTGCCATAGCACGATTTTCTTATTCAGCACTCGATTGAGAAACCACATTCTGCTTCTTACTTTTCCAGGAGACTAGGTTACCACCTACGAAGACGCAATAGCCAGATGTAGATCTGTTATCATCTTTAGATCCAGCCCAGTCAACATAGTCAACATCTGCAAAGCATTCTATTCTTGTGTGGTCATGATTTTGGTAAACAATACCTCGTCCCGGAGTCCCCTTCAAATAACATAACATATGTTCTACAACATTCCAATGATCAACCGTCGACGATGACATATGTTGGATCACTACACTCGCTGAGTATGCAATACATGGACCGGTAACTGCATGATAATTAAGTTTTCCAACCAATCTTCTATATCTTTTCGGATCTTCGAATGGCATGCCTTCTTGAGTGAATTGCACATTGGGAATCATGGGAATATTGCTCGGTTTTGCCCCTAATTTCCCTATTTCGGCTAGCAAAACAAGTACATATTTACGTTGAGATAGAAATATGACTTTCTTACTCCGTGTTACCTCAAACCCCAAGAAGTATTTAAATGAGCCAAGATCTTTCGTCTAGAATTGACTATGAAGAAAATTCTTAAGGGCTAAAATACATGCATTATCACTCCCTGTAATCACAATATCATCGACATACACCGCGAGCAATGTGATACCAACTTTTGTTCGTCTATAAAACACAAAGTGATCTGACTGGCCTTTTATCATTCCAAACCATTCAATTGATTGGCTGAATTTCCTAAACCATGCACGAGGACTCTATTTAAGACCATAAAGAGACTTCTGAAGTCAACAAACTTTCCCATACTCCCCTTGAGCAACAAATCCAAGAGTTTGTTCGATATAAACTTCCTCTTGAAGGTCACCATGCAAGAATGCATTTTTAATGTCTAACTCATGTAAGTGTCAACCATGAGTTGCAGCGAGTGAAATAAGTAACTTGACAGATGTTAATTTAGAAACAGGAGAAAAAGGGTCAAAATAATCAACACCATAGGTTTGAGCATAACCCTTCGCAACTAATCGGGCTTTTAACTTAGCAACAGATCTGTCTGGATTAACCTTTACAGCAAAGACCCATTTACATCCATAGACTTCTTTCCTGTAGGCAAGTTGACTAAATCTCAAATACCATTACGATCCAAAGCATTCAATTCCTTTACCATGGCATGACATCATTCAGGATGAGACAAAACTTCTTTAACAAATTTGGGAACAAAAATATAATCCATGGAAGCAATAAAGGAACGTGAGGCAGAGGATAATTGACTATACGACACAAATGAAGGAATAAGATGAGTATAAGACCGTGTACCTTTACAAAGTGTTATCGGGAGGTTAAGATACGAAGTGCTATCAGGATTGGTTCAGGACATCAAATCAAGGCCGGACTAAGTAGTCACAGGTGTCAGAGGTGGGGGTGATTCGGTGCTTTGTGTCCACGGGTGTATACCAAGTGTATTGAAGGCCTTGGGTCGGGAACAGTAACTTGGGGAATAATTGTCGAAGGTGTGGACTCAGGTATAGTCATCGTGTAAATGAGTATATCATCATTACCTTCAAGAATATCTGCCTTAGATGCTGAAAAAGGTGTATTTTCATGAAATGATGCATCAATAGAAACAAGATATTGACCTGTACTTGGCCAAAAACATCTATACCCCTTTTGAACTCGAGAATGCCGTAAGAAAATACATTTTAATGATTTGGGATCTAGTTTGGTAAGATGAGGGTTAACATCTCTCAAAAAACAAGTGCAACAAAATATTTTAGGTGGGATGGGAAAAAGCTCTTTATTTGGACATAGACAGTGATAAGGAGTTTTGCCATTCAAAACAGAAGACGGCATACGGTTTACTAAAAAACATGCAGTAGAAACGCATCGGATCAAAACTGTTTAGGCACATTCATTTGGAATAAAAGATCCCTTGAAGTTTCTAACCGATGTCGGTTCTTTCGTTCCGCAACTCCATTTTTGAGGAAGTGTGTCAACGCATGAAGTTTGATTAATAATGTCATGTCAAAGCATATATGACTTATATGCAGCAAACAAATATTATTGGGTATTATCTCCTCTTAGTACCCGAACATGAACATTAATTTGAGTTTTAATTTCAACACAAAAGGAAGAAAAATGAGTGAACAACTCATATCGGAGTTTCATGAAATACAACCACGTCATAAAATATTCTTGGGTATTATCTCCTCTTAGTACCCGAACATGAACATTAATTTGAGTTTTAATTTCAACACAAAAGGAAGAAAAATGAGTGAACAACTCAGATCGGAGTTTCATGAAATACAACCACGTCATACGAGAATAATCATTAACAAAGGTAACGAAGTATTTAAAACCAGCTTATGACACAACTGGACAAGCACCCCAAACATCATAACGAACTACGTCAAAAGGAGCACCCCTTTCAAGTGGTGGTTCCACGGTTAGTTTTCCCATCCATGTAACCCTTTAAAAGGCGTTGAAAAAGTGTTGTGCTTTGAGGAGCTTTGTTACACTCTTTGATGAAAGAGGGTACTTTCGCAGATGTTTGATGAAGAAGACGTGCTCTCAAATTGCTGACCAAAAGGGGGAAAATGCCATGTGGGAGGCCACGTAAGCGCCTAATTGGTAACCTGTTGGTGACACACTAAAAATCGGCTTTGGATGATTTTTTTAAGTTGGAGTGCCTAATTGGGTGATATTTAGGTATGAGGATTTGATTGACATTTTGAGTATAATAGGAGAGCTATTTGATAGTTTTCCCTTATCTTTTTTATCATACCTTATCTTTTTTTTGTCTGATCTTTCTTTCCCTTTTGGCTATGATATCATGTACTGATTCATGTTAGACAATCCCAAAAAAACATTGCACCCAGGCTTGGATGTTGTTATTGTTGTATCATATTTATCTTTATCTTATCTTTTTTATCTTATCATATCTTTGTTGTCTTTTTAGCTCCGATTTCATGTAACGATTCATGTTACCCGACCCCGAACTCTTTTGGGATTAAGGCTTGGATGTTGGTGTAAGGTTAAGTAGGGAAATATGACTAAAATAAATCTATGAATGTTTAAATACCACTATTCATATATGTTAATCATGATTGACCAACAACATCCAAGCCTTAGTCACAAAAAGGTTGGGGTCGGGCCGGTCGGCTCACATCAATCGACATATGCAATTGGAGCTAAAAAATAAAAAATAAAAATCAATCCTCCACACATATATTCTCTCTCCGCTCTGTTTTCTCTAAAGTCATACTCACATAATCCAAGAAGTATCATACCATTTCCTGACCACTCTAATCCACAATTGTTTGGGTCATCATCTCCCCTCTCGTCCTCGTCTAAGTTCCACACCTCTCAATTTGCCAAACATGCGCATCACTCAGTCTTCTACACACATGATCAAATCATTGCAACCGAGACTCTCGCATCTTATCTTCAATAGGTATTATCCCCTTTCGCCTGATTATCTATTTGTCATGATTGAACATAAAATATTTTTCACAATTTACCTTTTTATGCTATTTAAATTATTCCTTTTCTAACATAAATGGGAGGGTTGCTTTTAAATGGGTAAAGTATTACTACATAAAAAACTTGATGAATTTGTGACCCCACAAAACTTTTTATTTTTCCTTTAAGAGAAACTTTCCTAAAAATGACTAAGGGGGTGTTTGCGATTGCTTATGCTTTTTAAAAGTGATTTTTTTAAGAGATTATTTGAAAAGCGATTTATAGTAAAAGTAGGTAGTGTTTAGGGAATAGAAGTGATTTTAATTAAAATGTAAAAGTTGGAGTGTTTGATAAAAAAGTGATTTTTGATGAAATGTTTTATAAGAGTACAAGAATACCCCTACATAATTTCGAAGTCCATACATCTCATTTAACTTGAGTACTATTTTTTTGAGAATCTGTCCAGTGCCAAGCAGCCCCAGCTTTATAGAAACAAAAAATTGAACAAATGGCGACAAACACTTCCTTAAACCTGCGATTTTGAGTTGTTACTTTGTAGATCAAGCCTCCAATTTTTTCATGCAACTCCAAGGACGCAGATCGAGAACTATGGAGTTGTCTGACACTCGACAGAAAGCTGGTGTGGTGAAGGTTATTTTGGGGTTAAGTCAAATAATTGACCATTATAACTGCCACTAGACTTTGAGTTATATTCACAATAGAACCGAGAAGCAATTAAAAGCACCACTGGACCAGCTTCAAACTTTTGGCTTTTAAGTGCTTTTTTTAATCAAAATCAGGTATTAGCAAACACTTCTTTTGGCTTTTTGTAAATTAAAAGCTCAAAAGTGCTTATTCTAAGCATTGGCAAACACTCTATAAAAAAAACTCAATTCCTCAAATATGACCATCATTGTTTTTTTCAAATTAGGATTCATTAACACCTAAAGCATGATGTTTTAATTTCTTTTATGCTTTTATTAGGACTATATGAGTCCTATTTTTATGTTAACATAAAACAAGAATGCTATTATTTGTGCACTATACTCGTGTTTATCTCATATTTGTTCATTTGTTGCAACATTTTTTCTTTGAATATATAATTTGGCCAAACTGCATAGCAATAAGAAACTAAAAAAGGGAGAAAATGTAAAATATATTTATCGAGAAGGGAAATGGTAGAAAATGTAAAAGAAAAAACTTTAAAATGGACAAAAAATATGTTGAAACAACACCCAAAAGAGAACGAGGGAAGTAAATAGTGACACATTCGGCGATACACATAACTGAAAAGATATTTGCGCTTCACCTGTCTTTGAGTCTCTAGCTGGCTGGCAAGTAGGCGGTTATACTCATCCACAACCTACATTTAATAAAAGGTCAAAGCAAGGAGGAAAAGAATGCAAACAGATCTCTCAAGCAAAGAGAAGGAAAAATAATTGCATACTTTACCATACCATTACTAGCAAGTTTGTCAAATCTGATAAGATCAATACAAGACACTTACAAATATTTTACGCACAATGTTAAGGAGTAGCAGGCGGAAAAATAAAAGGTCATAGCAAGGAGGAAAAGAATGCAAACAGATTTCTCAAGCAAAGAGAAGGAAAAATAACTGCATACTATACCAGACCATTACTAGCAGGTTTGTCAAATCTGATAAGATCAATACAAGACACTTCTAAATATTTTACGCTCATTGAATCGAAGAAATTACCGCTTCAACTTTGCTGCTGTAAAGGGCACCACTGAGACCTCCCGGGTCCTCATCATCATACCGAAAAACACCACATTCACTATCAGATGCAGGACATGAAGAAGTCATAGCAGTTGGCTTGCCATCGGTTTTTGATTGATTTAAACGGTGAACATATTTGTCTCCTACATAATCCCAGATTTGCTGCGTCTCTAACTCCAGAGAATATTGATGTTGTGTATCACTCCAGTGTCTAATGGCATGCCTCTCTACATACCTACGTTAACTAGATTACTCAAATCCATGTCGAACAAGGCACCAATACTTTTAGAGATCCAGATCTCTACTCCAACTTACTTTTCCTAACGAATACAAGATCCAACAGATACCCATACATCAGAAGATGGAGACAGAACTACTATACCTTCCACATCCAACAAAGCCACAAATCATGCAGACCCAAAGGTTTTTTGGTGTTTCACAAACAGAACAGGTTAGTCTCTCATCCTGCTGCTGACAAAGTCGGCATACCTGTCAAATAAAGCACCGTGATTAAGCACATTTATATATATAATTTATATATATATATATAATTACATATATATGGTATTTACTATTTAGAAACAAATTAATATTAGGAGCCCGTTTGGTAATACCAAAATCAGCTGATTCAGCTGATTCTGCAGAAATTTATTAAATTCTGGCTGAAGTGGCTGAATTGGCTAAATTTTGTTGATTTATGAAAATATTATATTTGAAATATAATCCCTCTGTCCCACTATAATTGTCCCATTTTTCCTTTTCCGTCTGTCCCACTAAATTTGTCCCATACTATATTGGTAATATTTGTGTGGCTCTAATTTATTCTTACTCTATTCTCACTTTATCAATTCATTATCAACCACATAACTCTATTTCTCTTAAAAACTGCACCCCTCTCCTTTGTCACAATCTCCCCCTCTATCCTTCATGTTTCCATTGGTTTAAGGAAATAAAAAGGTCCCTATAGTATTGAAAAATATTCGCATTAGTCGCTGCACCATTGATCGAGTAAATTCAAGCCTCACACACTCACGATTACAAACTTAATTAGTTGTAGCTGTTAAAACTTTGCGTTGCTGACGCATACTGCTCCATAAAATTCCACTAAAAAGTACCCCCAAAATGAAAATCTGATATCATAAGTGCCTTCCTGGAAAACATGAATGTCTAGCTACAATCCTCCCAATCCAGAGAAACATTGGCAGGATAAACAAGATGCTCACTGTTGCTAAGGACTAGATTGACAAGATTTATGGGGCAAGTATTAAAATGGACTTTACTCAAAAATAAAAGGACAAATCACACCAATGAGGTTCAACTTCAAGCAAATTTAGAGTGAAAGGGAGCACAATATGTTAAGACTTTCAAAGTCCGCCAAGTTCAAAAAAGGTTTATCATAGTAGGAATGCGTGATAAATCTCCAGCATTCTTAATAACAAATGTTAAATTTGCAATTGTAGTACAAATAAGCACCAATTTACATTTATATTGAAAAACTAACCTCGCATGAAGAAAATGTTCTCTTTGAAACACAAGAACACTGAAATGAATGGTCACAAAGTGTAGCCTGTATTCCGCTTGTATCTTGGTCCAGTCTTTCTGTGCGTTTTACAATCACAAATGATAAAATTGTGGTTGTGACATTTATCATAACGGAAATATAACCAATGAGAAACGTGGATATTACTAAAAAAATCAGCTTACATATTTATAATATAATCCAAGTTCACTAACCAAGACAAACTGGACAAGTGGGTAATTCAGTATAACCCGGTGGAGGTATGCAGGCTATTTCTGCTGATTCAGTGAATTCCACTGATTGAGTAAAATAAATGTGGCAAGCCTCGTGCTAAATAGTCAAAACAACATGAATATTAAATATAAATCATGCACAAATTGATTGAATAAAAGAAACTCTTCAAGATAAGTCAATACCTCAGTGGCCTTGAACCTTTTACCATTGTAATTACAATAGAATCCATCTGCAGCTAATTGATTCACCAATGTTATCAATACACTATATCTATCTTCCATTACATCATTCCTGCATACATAATTACACACTATGTCTTAGTACCTACACGCATAGTATATTTTACAAGCAAACAAATCTTGAAATCATACCTCCACTATGAAACTGTATTTAAAAAGAAAGAGTATGCAACTGAATATTTGGCTATAGATTATGTACTTAGCTTACTCTTGCGATATATGAATGAAGTATTATGCTTTCAAGGGCAAACAAATGTGCAAAACATTAATATGCATTGAAACATGTGTATTTGCTTAAAAAGCGTTACTTCATCAAATTAGACAAGTTACTGCATGTTGTATTCTTGTTCGCAAGGGTGAGAAAAATCGTTAAAGAAAGAGTTCAAGTATCCAGGTGTCAATTCATCACCTAAGAAAGAGGATTCCTGTGAATTGGTCGACATGGGACCCGCAAAAGAGGAGGAAATCAAGGGCTGATAAACCACTCGGAACAGCAACAACAAAGATGGTGGTCGTACGGGAGATCGGGTTAGCTATACCAGTGAGAGCGGTGGCGTAGGTGGAGGATGTGGACTGGGGAAGGTGTCGGAAGAGGTGCGCAACACCCCGTTGCTCAACCGGGTTCAGATTGGAAATATTATTAGGGGCGTTTAAGACGCCGGGGGAGTAAGGGGCGGCGGGAAGCGGTTGAGGAAAGTCTACGGAATGGATTTGGAGAACGAACATAGTTGAGTGTCGCAGTTGTCGATCAGTCATGCGAGTGCCTTAAGCAATGTGCTCGAAAACTAAACAAAAAACAGAGGTGATAGGCAGAAACAACCTGAAAAATGGTAAGCCAAACTTAGGGTCGGTTTGCAACTGCTTTTAAAAAAGCACTTCTCAGCTTTTGGTTTTAAAAAAGCACTTATTTTTCCAAACACTACAACTTTTATTTTTCTCGGCTTCCGCGTCAAAAGTGCTTTTACTTTTTCTATTACACAAAAAACACTTATTTTACCAAACACTACTCACTTTTACTTTTCAAAATCACTTTTTTCTCAAACACTATCAACTTTTATTTAATCATTTATCTCCATTTCATTAAAAAAGCACTTTTTAAAAAGCAGAAGCTGTTGCAAACAGACCCTTAAAACTTTCAAAGTATAGTTAAAAGTTATGCGATAAGCATAATTTGTATCCGCCCTGGCTAAAGCTTGAGCACTACTTTTTGCTTGCCGCCTAGTAAAAACAACCTGAAAGTTGTTATTTTCCGCTAGACCTGCACAAAAGCGGGTTCGGGCCGGGCTCGGGCCGGGCTTTCCATAAGTTTTCTGCCCATTGTGTGTTCGCAAAAACGGGCCTAACCCTATGTCCATACCCGCCCGTAAGAGCGGGCCGGGTAGTCCACCGGGCCACCGGGCCCGGTAAAGCTTTAAATTTTTCAAAATTATATAATTTATTTAATACTTTATAAATAATATTACAACATCTAAAAAATTGCTAATACGCTTATAATGTATATAGGCCTTTCATCACATACACAAAAAATATTTACACAAAAATAATAATGATAAACTATATCTAAAATTTAAAATTCAAGCAAAACGTATTATCTTTAAGTACAAAAATAGATATTATATTGGTTGGACTATTTTTTAAGAACTAAAAACTTAAATTTAAACATAATAAACTATAAATATGTATACAGATAAATTAGTAAATATGAAAATATACAAGTGTACATGTAAATAAATACATAAATTAGTATATATAAAAATATATATGTATATATACTAAATGTAGCGGGCCGGGCTTATCGGCCCGAACGGGCCTACACCCTAACCCAAGCCCGCCCATATGTTGTTGCGGGCCGGGCCCGGACCCGGGCCGGGCCGGTGGGTAAATATATATGCCCAAGCCCGCTAATTTGTGCGGGCGGGCTGGGCGGGCCGGGCGGCCCGGCCCGGTTTTGTACAGGTCTATTTTCCGCTAGCAATAATCTGCAATCTCTCACAAGTGATCCATACTTCGTCATATCCACCCGATCACTGTGCACATCTTCAACCACCTGTTTGGCGTCCATCTCAAAAATAATAGGCCCTCTTGTCCACTCCCGGCTCCATAGTAATGATTGCCGAAGACTCCATACTTCTGATTCAGCCGGAGATAAAGTTACTTGGCACCATTCTGAATGCGCTAGGTGAAATTTCCCCTGATGATCACGAACACAACATCCCATCCCTGCCCTCTTCTCATCTTCAAAAATAGTTGCATCCACGTTACACTTAAGGTTGGAAGGTGGCGGGGGGTTCCATTTTGCAGCAGCTTTGTTATCTTTAGATCCGGTGCGATGTCTGCCTCGAAGACTTGTCCAGCTATGCAGCAATTCCATCCCACGAGTGATTACTTGCTGGTCATTTTCATATGTACCCTCCCAGTAAAGGGTGTTTCTACGCCTCCAAATACTCCACACTACCATAGCAAAAGTACAAAGTTGCTCTTCTGTTAGTTTAGTGCAGACATGTATAAATAAATCTGCAAAACTCTCTGCTTGCAACAATGCTTCCTCTAAGATATTCCAAAGGCCTACTTTCTGCCAAACAAGTAACACTACCAGGACATGCCAAAAAAATATGCCAGTTATTTTCTGGATTATCAAGGCAGTTGGGCAAGAAATTCCCTTTTCCCTAAGCCGACTTCGGTTTGGCAGACAGTCCCGACCAAGTCTCCACATAAATGTACGAACCTTTGGAGGGACTGATAAAGCCCATATCTTGTGCCATTGCCCGGGCTTTTTAAGATGATCAGTCTTCACCAATTTATCCATGCACAACCGGTAGGCACTTTCGTACAATATACTGCCCGCTTTTTTCAAAACACCAAATGACAGTATCCTTCTTATTTAGCCGAAACAGAGGAATGGCCAAGATTTTATTTGCATCAGTATCTTGAAAAACTTCTCTTATAAAGCTCTCCTTCCATCTTCCCTCCTCCCGTTCAATAAGATGAGATACTTGAAGCTCCTCATTTATGCAACCCAGTCCCGAATGAACCCATGGGTCATGTATATCACGTAACCAGGGCTGCCTCCAAACATCTATACAAGTGTCATCGCCAATGCTCCATCTATACCCTTCCTTTAACAATGTTCGGGCCGACCAGATGCTACGCCAAGTAAAACTGGGGTTATGCCCAACAGCCGCCCCTAAGAAGTCCTTTTTCGGGAAGTATTTAGCTTTGATAATGCGCGTTACCATAGCATCCGGGTTAGAAATCAGTCTCCAACCTTGTTTCCCCAACATTGCTAAGTTAGAAGCATGTAGATGACGAAAACCCATTCCTCCATCCTCTTTTCTAAGAGACAGTTTGTCCCAGCTCAACCAATTAATGCCTCGGCCTTCTCCTCTTCGGGAGCCCCACCAAATGAGTTCATTATCCTCTCAATCTCTTCCTGGAGTGTTGTGGGTAGCATAAAGACGCTCATACAATAAACCGGGATAGCTTGAACCATAGACTTAATAAGTACCTCCTTACCCGCTTTTGAAAGAAGTTTGCTGCTCCATCCCGAAATTCTCTTCCAAACTCGATGTTTAACATATTTAAAAATAGCTTTTTTGCTCCTCCCAATCATAGATGGCAGCCAGAGATACCTTCATGTTCCTAAAACCGCAGCAACACCAAGAATGTTAGCAATATGGTCCCTCTTTGAAGCTTCGATATTTCAGTATTTCTACTAAAATACACTTCAGATTTCTGTAGATTAATATATTGGCCTGAGCCCAATGCATAGTGTTGGTCCCAAAAACCAAAATGAAAGAACAGCTAGAAAAGATCTACAATAATATAGAGAAGGATTCTTAATAAGAAGCTATCGTCTGCGAAGAGTAAATGACTTATTGAATGTGCTCTTCTACTAATTTTGACGCCATGCAAAGCTCCGCTTCTTTCTGCTTTCCGTATAAGGGTTGTGAGTCCCTCTGCACACAAAATGAATAAATAGGGGGAGAGAGGATCTCCCTGTCGCAATCCCCTATTTGGAAAAACTGGCCCCACGCAATCCTCATTGACTAAAATTGTGTAACTGACTGTAGTCACACACATTTTCATCCAACTGATCCATTTCCTATCAAACCCCAGTGCGTGTAGTATCATGAAAAGATAGCCCCACTTGACTCGGTCACACGCCTTACTAATATCAACATTTTAAGTGATGCATAATTTCACTCGCAATTAACACATTATCTGAGATATTTCTTCCTGACACAAAGCCGGATTGTTCAGTGGAGACACATATAGGAAGTATTTTTTGTGGTCTATTAGCCAATACTTTTGCAACTATTTTGTAGACCATGTTGCATAGAGAAATAGGCCACAAGTCTTGCATATATTTGGGATCATCACACTTGGGAATAAGGACTATATTTGTCTCCCCTACTGCATCAGTTAACTGCTCCTCCTCTAGCCACCTCTTACCTGCTTAAACAATATCATCGCCACATAACTCCCAGAAACGCTTGTAAAAAGTTGGGTTCAACCCATCCGAACCCGGGGCTTTATTAGAATGCATTTGGAATATGGCCGCCTTAAATTCATTATTTATGAAAGGGGCTATCAGCATGTTATTTGCTTCCTCGTCCACACGTGCTTCAATGACTTTCTGCACTCGATCATAATCTGTCATAGAAGAAGAAAACATGTTAATAAAGTAATCCTTTGCTATGGAGCAAAGGTCCTCTTTTGTTGTTGCTAACGTGCCATCTTCTCAGATCAAATTTGAAATTCTATTCTTCTTTTTTCTTATTGTTGCTGCCGCATGGAAAAACTTCGTGTTCATATCTCCATCTCTCATCCAGAAAACCTTTGCCCTTTGCCTCCAGAAAGCATCCTCTTGTATAAGGAGATGAGCAAGCTCCTCCCGAAGAGCTAATGTTAGGATCTGCAAGATCAATCTAACAATACACAAAGGAAATCAAGAACTCAAGGCAACTTCTTATTCAAGAAAAGGCAACAATGGCCATCGGCCTAGGCAATAGTTAGGGCTACACTTTACAATTCAAATTCCGCTTCCGTATTACATCTTTCTAACTTCTATTTATAGACCTCAGCCACCCAGCCATAGTCCTTATCTAATAATCCCTCCCAAACACTTATTACACTTATTCTATTTTTTTATATTCTCTATAGGTCTCTAACATATCTCCCCCCCTAAACATCCACCTTGCCCTCAAGGTGGGTGAAAGGTAACAGCCAAGACTTCCGGCTTCTTCTTCATTCTGGTACTCCTGCCTTTCCAATATTCCACAAATTTCTGATATAAAAGCTTCATTAATAGATCTTTCCAGCTCACAGATTTTTCCAGAGCCTCTTTGCTATTGTGATGCAACACATGAACTGAACCACCTTTCGTGCCTGAAGATACAAAGTCAGCACCTTCCTTGGTCTGGATAACATGATCACTAATCTTCTGTTCCATGTTCTGTCCCTATTCTTTATCCTTACAACACAGTAGATACCAATCCACAGTTGGTTGCATAATCTGTGCAGTGTTTATGTGAAGAACATCCTTTTCATTCAGAGCTATATCCCCTTTTATGGAACAGATCTGATTGCCTTGCTTCCAAGTGATGGACTGGTATTTGAAATTGATTGCCATATTTCCCAATTGAGTTAACCATTCCATGCCTAGCACCAATTCTGTCCCTCCTAACTCTAGGATGTAGAAAGCTTGTTGTATTACACTCCCTTGAACATCTAATTTCAGCCCCATACATCTGCCATTATTGGAAATGAACTCTCCATTACCAGTCTGGACCCTATAACCTTTGATTTGATGGAAAGGAAT